ATTGCATGATTAACTGATACTTTGACCCGACTGGGATAAAATTCTTATACCTGATTTTCAAAAAGAGCTGATAGATATTTTTCCGATCAACAACTTACTTCAATTTGGTAATGGAATTTGCAAAGGAACTTTAATATTTTAGTAGGGGCATATGAATTTTGCATTCTATTCCATATTGCTTCTTTTTAGTAGGGGCAAATGGTTCTTTTTTCTTTTCGGATTTCAATATTGCTTCAATGCGGTTGACCATATACTTTACTTTATTTAATACAGAGTACCTATTTAGTACTCTGAAGTATACACTTTATCATCTTTAATACTCCATCTGTTCACCTAAGATTGTTCAATTTTACCTTTTTGAGATATACTACTAAAATTGTCTCATACCAAATTAGATAAAGTTTGTACGGCTCTGAATCATTCTTACCTTATTCTCACTTTATCAATTCAATATCAACCACATAAACTCACTTTTTCTTAATAATCGTGTCACATCTTGTTGTCCCAAACTCCCAATGTTAGTGAGACAGAGGTAGTAGTAACTCTAATAGAAAATTGTACGAAAAATGGTCTTATCAACTTTCTATACTCTTTCTATCTTACCCAACATTTCATACGTGTCTTGGTGGGCATAATTACTTTAATGCATTTTGGTAGGATTTATTAAAATCTGGCAACTAGGGCGGTGCACGGGTCGGGTTCGGGCGGGTCGGGTTTGCGAACGCTAAACACGTTCGGGTTTTTTAGTTTAAATACTAGGCCCGACCCTTTGATATTTCGGATCAGGTATTTCGGATATTTTTAATTCGGATATTATCGGATATCGGGTCGGGTTTCGGATATTTAGGTTATATTAAAAAAAATACTCCGTATATAATTGAATAATTAAAGTGTTCAAATTCCATTTTGACAAAAATTGTACACACTAGTGCACTAAACATCCAAATTACACAAATAATTTAACACAAATTACACAAATAATTATACAAATAATTGAACACAAGTATTAATTTAACATATTCAAAGTACACGCTATCATATATTTCGGATATAATTGAATAATTAAAGTATTAAATTCCACTTTGACAAAAATTATACACACTAGTGCACTACACATTCAATTTACACAAATAATTTAATACAAATTGCACAATATAATTAGATTAATTACACAAATAATTGGATACAAGTATTAATTTACCATATTCAAAGTACACACTAACATATATTTCGGATATTCGGGCGGGTCGGGTTGTGATTTTACAAACCCTACCCGCCACCCGATCTAGACCCAATATTAATCGGATTTTCGGTTTCGGATTTTTCGGGTCGGATATCCACTTCAGTTCGGATAATATCCGAACAAATATCGGATTTTTTGGGTCGGATCGGGTTTTGCTCAGCCCTACTGGCAACACATTAATGCATTTTAATGCTCAAAATATGGAAAGTAATTCCTCCGTCAAATCCACTCTCAAATTAGCAAAGTTACCAAAGTAATAAAGTGGACACTAATTCATGGGCGGGCGTTCAGTTTACTGTTCACATTAATTTCCCATTATTTCCCATTATGCCCTTATTTTGAGCGGCAAAATTCCCTCCAAAAGTAGTAGCAACTCTACTACTTTTTTATATATAATATAAAGATGACCGATATGCAACGAACATTAAGACATTAAAAAACTCAGAGTTAACAAGTTATAGGGGAACGGAAACATAATCTATTTTTGTCTAATCTCTTGGACAAAATGCATCAATCGAGGGTTTAAATACATTATCAACTTTCACATCTTGCAAATGATGTTCGCAAAACAAAGTCTTGTAACATATTTTAAAAATAAGGCAATGTTATTAATGCAGTTCCATCTTTTGCGATAAAGAGTACGTTTGACACAATTTAATGAAGTTGTGCCATTTTAGGATATGCACACCATATGCACAATGCATAGGCACATCATACGCACAATGCATACGATCAATACGTTACAAACATAATGACCCAATGTCATTTATGAAAGAAGGAAAATGCTATGAGTACAAACAAACTTACGAAAAAACTTACAAACAAATGATTTGACTATTGTAATGACTTTTGATGATGTAAAAATACTTACATAAATATGATCAAAATAAAGATAATTTACAAAAATATGACTGGTGACTAAAATAATAATAAAATTATAATAATTCATGTACAAATTTTAAGTCTAAGTTATTACAACATCACATTGGAGTAATGAATAGTCATATTCATATCAAAAACCTAAACAGAAATAATGCGATGTACCTCTAGCATGACTCATGAAAGAATATTATAATACAAAATCATAATCTCATAGAAATATTTACGATTTATATGAAAATTGATCCGATTGCTTGGAGACGGTTTGCAAATACTATTATTAATCGGCGAAATAATTTGTCAAGATATCGTTTGGAGAGTTCATCCTCCGGAGGTGGGAAAGGATAGAACTCAAATGTCAAAAACTGAAAATTAAAGTCAATTGAATGTTAAAAGGGAAAATCTCAGAGAATTTCCAGTTAGGAAAGAATACAGACATTTCAGCACGGCATCAATCTCTGACCGCCCGTCTGCTTTTTCTCATCATCGACCATGCTTTCAAAACCCAAAAGAAGAATATAAATATCAAGATATCATTCTCGAAAAACTTGAATCCATAAAAATGGGTTCAGATAAAAGGCATCAGATAATAAGCGGAGTTGTTGATCTACATCGAATTTCAGAGTGTAGGATAAAACTGATCATCACTTGCCTATCTAAGTACACAAAAAAAAAAAACCAATATTTGAGTAGAGGTTATTCAATGTTTTTGACATCGAACCAAAACAGAAACATGGAATGCCAGACTAAACTCATATTCTTCAAACAAGCAGTATAAATTTAGAAATTCAGCGTATGTATGTAGATTGGGAACAATGCGAATAAATATAAGATCTTGATGCAAGAAGGTTAGGGTTTGGATATATTCTAACAGGGCTTCTGTGGTGAGGCCCATCTAATTCGATTTTGGGCCAATTCTGTGCATATAGGCTTCTAATAATTTGTATAGGAGATTTTGCCACTTTTTATTGTCCACTCTTCAATGATACTTGCTTTTTAAACTCTAACAATCATCTGACTATTATAAAAAGAATCCTACTCATCATTTTTAAATTTTCTTTAATGCTCAGACTATTGAAAAATCAACCTTTTTTATGATTTGCAACCATAATTGTTACAATTTTAGTCATGCATTTATTATTATAAAATTATAATTGAAAATTTAAATAGGCAGCTCTCTGAATAATCAAACAACTAAAAGTGAAAGTCCCAAATAAAGTATAGTATTGTCTCTGTTAAAACTTTGTAATGATTATTGGTGGGGGGGAATTCAAAGTTAACTATTAAAATCATGTCATTAATACAAGAAACTAGTTGTACTCTAAAAACACTTATAAAAAATATAATAGCATCCACAAATCCACAATGCATGATATTTAGTCTATGAAAAGATGTTACCCTACTAAAATTAGACATTCTAGTTATTTCTTCCTCTCGTGTATGTAATCTTCTACAGAGTAAGGATGTTTTTTATCTGACCTGGCCTGCGACTGAAAATAGTCCAAAAGAAAACATCGTAATTGTTTTTCAAACTTTTTCATTTTCCAAAGCTTTGAAATTTGTAAGTATGTGTTACTAGCAACGACCAACCCATCTAATTGGTGTGAGAGTGCATTTAAATGTCCCATAAAAATCTTAATAAATAAATATCATTGTTGAGGGGAAGCAGAGCCGTCCATGGGGGTAGGCACCTAGGCAATGGCCTAGGTCACCACTTCCAAGGGGGGCACCATTTTTTATTAAAAAAGCTAAATATATATGTATATATATATATATATATATATATATATATATATATATATATATATATATAGACAAATCTTCATGTCAGGCCGGCCTGACGGGATGCTCCGTCCGGCTGAGTCCATTTGGGCACCTTACCGGTGGAATTTTTTGATAAAAATTTTTGAGCATGTTCCTCATCAAGTCTAGTGTGTCCATACCAAATTTCAGCTCAAAATTCGATCGAGAAGGCATTCAAATCATTTTTTTGAAGTTGACTGCAGTTTTATATGTATTAGACAATGATTATAATCTTCTAACGACGACTCTATAAAATAGTCGTTAAAATAATCTTTTAACAATGATTATAACTTCGTCGTTATTAAATGTTATCTTTAACGATCATAATAAAAACTTGTTGTTATTAACTAATGCACAATCATAGTTATTGCTAATTAATTTGTTTTACTCCGCATTATTTTAAAATTAAATAAAGAAAAATCTTCCAATTAAAGTAATCATGCAACCCTAAGAGCAATTTATTAAGGCTTTAAAGGTTCAACAAGTCGTCCATAACAAATGGTCCTCAAGGATTTCCACGGCGGCAAATCCTCCAGCAGCAAACTAGATTCTGTTATTTCTTTTTTCTTTTTAAATTTCTAATTTGCTTCATATATAGTACCTCCGTTTCTATTTCTTTGACACAGTTTGACTTGTCAAGATTTAAGGAAAAAAAGTTACCGAGGGGTAAATTTTACTGTAGAGTACATTGTTTGGCACTGTTTGAACACTGCTTGACACTGTTTGAACACTGTTTGGCACTGTTTAAACATTGTTTGACACAGTTTTGCACTGTTTAGGTAAAGATTTGATTACCAAATAAGGAAATAAAGAAGTGTGGCATTGAAACGAGCGAAAAAGGAAAGTGTGTCAAACAAATAGAAACGGAGGGAGTATGATTTCGGTCTTGCTCAATTAGGCCTCCTGTTTTATTAGCAATTCATCTCCTCTAGCCCTTGTTCAGGTAATTTCGATTTGTACTCTATAATGTCCTAATTTGGTGTTGTGTTTTTTCTATAATCTTTTGTGTTCTCTGGTGTTAAATGTTAATATTTGAAATTGGTGCATATATCCATACGTAGGGAAGAAAAGCAAAGCCTGTCAAAGTAATTCAACCACAAACCCAAAACAGTCCAAATATACTTGACAAGAATTCTTCCAAGCTTGCAAGAAACTCACAGGATCCCGGTTTAATAGCAGGTAGCAGTGAATGACATCAAAAACATATATGGAGAAAGCTGTAAAAATGAAATGAAACCAAGCACACACAGAACACCATGATTTTTTACGTGGAAAACCCCTCCAAATCGAAGAGGAAAAACCACGGGGCCTCCGTCCACCCAAACTCTTCACTAATCAACAAGGAATGAGTACAAGAGAGTCTCCAAACATCAAATATGATGATACAACAGCTCAAGAAGTATAAAACTTCAACAAAGATACAAAGAGGATGAAAAAGGATTGAAATCACCCTAAAAACTGCAGGTCTGTTCGGAAATGATTCCAGACGATCTGACCGTCAAAATCCAATCTCCACCGTTCAGAATTTAGGTCTGTGTCTTGAGAACCTCCAGTCAAAATTTCAGTATAATCTGACCACGGATGCCTTCCCAATCGCGATTTCTATGAAGCTGGGCGAGCAGCAAAATTTCTGCCCAGAAATTTTTCTCTCCTTTATCTGTTATCTTTTTCTGTTAGCTGATCTCTTCCCTGACCACAGGCAGTATCTTCAGACCACACCCATTGACTAAGTGAAGAGTCAAAATGACTTAATGGGTCTCCAACAATTTGGGCTATAATCACATAGGAGGGAATAAATGAGATAGGCCCAACAAATCTCCCTCTCCCGACTATGTGAAGAAATCATTCACTTTCCATCCCGGAAAGCGAACAACAAACCTCAAACTTCCATCTCGGTAATGCTTTTGTGAACATGTCAGCCCCATTATTATCAGTATGAACCTTTTCAAGTTCCAACAACCTATCATTCAAGACTTCACGTATCCAATGATACCTTACATCAATATGTTTAGATTTAGAATGAAAGGTTAAATTCTTACCGAGATGAATTGCACTTTGACTATCACATAGCAACACATATCTTTCTTGAGAGTATCTAAGTTCCTTCATAAAATTCTTCATCCAAAGCAACTCTTTGCAAGCTTCCGTGGCAGCTATAAATTCAGCTTCTGTAGTTGATAGTGCAACACATCTTTGTAATCGAGATAGCCACGAAACAGCTCCCCCTGCAAAAGTAATCAAATATCCAGAAGTAGACTTTCTTGAATCAATATCCCCAGCCATATCTGAATCAGTATAGCCTTCAAGAACATATTTTTCATTTCCAAAACAGAGTCTTAGACTTGAACTTCCCCGGAGATATCTCAAAATCCACTTCACTGCTTCCCAATGTTCTCTTCCTGGATTTGAAAGAAAACGACTAACCACTCCTACAGCATGAGAAATATCGGGCCTCGTACAAACCATGGCATACATCAAACTACCAACGGCTGAAGCACAAGGAACTCTATCCATCTCTTTCTTCTCATCTTTAGTTGAAGGGCATTGCTGGACACTTAGTTTGAAGTGACTAGCAAGTGGAGTGCTAACTGATTTTGCATTATCCATTCTAAACCTTTGAAGCACTTTCAGAATATAACTCTCTTGTGATAGCCAAAGCTTTCTTTCTTTTCTGTCCCGAGTGATCTTCACTCCAAGAATCTGCTTTGTTGGTCCCAAGTCTTTCATAGCAAAACACTTGTTCAACTCTTGGTTCAACATATTGATCCTAGAAGCATTCTTACCAACAATAAGCATATCATCAACATAAAGCAAAAGTACAATAAAGTCATCATCAGAAAACTTTTGCATAAACACACAATGATCAGAAGTGGTCTTTTTGTAACCCTGCTTACTCATAACAGACTCAAACTTCTTGTACCACTGTCTCGGTGCTTGTTTCAAACCATATAAACTTTTCTTCAATCGGCACACATGATCTTCTTTACCTTTAACCTTAAAACCCTCTGGTTGTTCCATGTAAATCTCTTCCTCAAGATTATCATGAAGAAAAACTGTCTTCACATCCATCTGCTCAACCTCCAAATCAAGAATAGCAGCTAAAGCAAGCACAACTCTAATGGAAGACATTTTCACAACAGGAGAAAAAATTTCAGAAAAATCAACTCCTTTTCTCTGATTAAAACCTTTGACTACTAATCTAGCTTTATATCGTGGGTTTGAGGAATGTTCCTCCTGTTTTAACCTGTAAACCCACCTATTCTTCAAAGCTCTCTTACCATTGGGTAACTTTACCAAATCAAAGGTATGATTATCATGCAAAGATTCCATCTCATCTTGCATTGCCCTAAACCACTTATCTTTTTGCTCACTTTCCAATACTTCATCAAAGCATTCAGGTTCTCCCCCGTCAGTCAAGAGCACATAAGTGTCAGGATTATACCTAACAAAAGGTATTTTAGCTCTTGTAGTCTGTCTCATAGGAATTGGAGCTTCATGTGATTCCTCTGGCATATATGTAACTTCTGGATGTTGAATATCAGTAGTTTCATCCTCTGGAGTCTGAGTGTCAACTGTATCCTGGTGTGTATCGGGCTGAGCCGTATCATCAACAGTAGTAGACTCATTATGAGTCCCCTCATCACCCAAGTCAACAAGATCATCATACATCTGTGTTGCTGTCATCTGAACCTTCTGAATATCCTTAATAGTTTGATCTTCACAGAATACGACATCTCTGCTTCTGACAAGTTTCTTCTCAACGGGATCATATAACCTGTACCCAAACTCATCCTGGCCATAACCTAGAAAGATACATTGTCTAGTCTTTGCCTCAAGTTTAGACCGTTCATCTTTAGGAATATGAACAAAAGCCTTACAACCAAAGACTCTCAAATGATCATAAGAAGATTTCTTGCCTGACCAAACATTCTCTGGAACATCTCCATCTAAAGCATAAGCTGGGGAATGATCATAAGAAGATTTCTTGCCTGACCAAACATTCTCTGGAACATCTCCATCTAAAGCATAAGCTGGGGACATATTAATCACATGAACTGCTGCGTACAAAGCTTCACCCCAGAAGCTCGGTGATAGCTTAGCTTCAGAAAGTAAACAACGAACTCTCTCAATTAAAGTTCTGTTCATTCTTTCTGCCAAACCATTTAGCTGAGGAGTTTTGGGAGGAGTCTTCTGATGCCTTATCCCTAGCTTTCTGCAATAATGATCAAATGGACCACAATATTCACCACCATTATCTATTCGGATGCACTTGACTTTCTTTCCCGTCTGCCTCTCAACAAGAGCTTGAAATTCCATAAACTTATCTAGAACTTGATCCTTGGTCTTTAAAGCATGGACCCACACCTTTCTAGAATAGTCATCAATGAAAGTCACAAAATAAGATGCACCGCTAAAAGATTGTACCTTTAAAGGACCACACACATCGGAATGAATCAACTCCAACACGCTTGATTTTCTGTGATGAGAATTACTCTTGAAGGACACTCTGTTTTGTTTTCCCGCCATGCAATGATCACACTTGTTTAACTTTATTGTACCAAGTCCAGAAATAACATTGTTTCTAATTAAACAATTAAGTCCCTTTTCACTAATATGGCTAAGTCGTCTATGCCATAAATCAAATGAGACTTTGCTGTCCACTGCATTGATGCTGCAAGAAACGAAAGCCTGCAATAAATAAAGATTAGAAGACTTCTTCCCACGAGCCACAATCAATGAACCCTTGGAGATCTTCCACTCCCCGCCAATAAAACTGTTGCAGAAACCATCATTGTCAAGTCTTCCAACTGAGATCAAATTTAGGCGAATATCTGGAGCATGTCTGACATCTTTAAGGATCAATTGAGTGCCATTACTAGTTTGCAAACACACATCACCCATGCCAATAACCTTTGACACACCATCATTGCCCATCCTGAGAACTCCAAAATCACCTGGAGTGTAGGAACTGAAGAACTCCTTTTTAGACGTAACATGAAGTGAGGCGCCAGTGTCTACTACCCAATCAGTGTCATGAGATGAAAAATTGATCACATCATCATGAACAATAACAAGATCTCCCGGAGTGGCAGCAGCAACGCGGTCACCATTGTTGTCATTTTTCACATCAGAATTGTTGCCATTTTTCTTGTCCTTCTTTAGTTTAAAGCAATGCTTCTTGATATGACCTTTCTTGCCACAGTAATGACATTCCATATCCTTAAACCGGGACCTGGACTTACTTCTGCTTTTGCCTCTATAACCCTGAAACTTGTTTTGGTTTCTCCCCCTGTCTTCAGTAACAAAAACTTCTGACTGGGATGGGTTTGTACCCGGAGTCCTTCTTCTAACCTCCTCATTTAAAATGCCATCTCTAGCATACCCTAAAGACATAGAACCAGCAGGGGCATTGTTAGTAAAAGAAGTCCGGAAAGTTTCCCAAGAATCGGGTAAACTGTTAAGCAACCAAAGTCCCAATATTTCCTCTTCAAATTTAATACCAACGTCAGTCATCTGATCAACTAGGCCTTGAAATTCATTAACATGATCCAAAACAGAAATGCCCTCTTTATATCTCAAATTCATCATTTGCTTTAACAGAAACAATTTATTATTTCCTGTTTTAGCAGCATACATGTTTTCAAGGTTCGTCCACAAAGTTTTGGCATTTGTTTCCGATCCTTTGCTATATGATTCCTAACATTTTCTTCCACCCAACATCTGATATAACCACAGACTTGCTGATTTTCAAAACCCCAGACTTCATCAGATTTATTCTCAGGCTTAGTTCCGAATACAGGTAAATGGAGACTTTTAACATGTAGCAAATCTTTCATTTTACCACTCCAGTTGTGATAATTTTTGCCATTCAAACAAATCATCCTACTAATATTCGGCTCCATATTTCAAACAAGCAGATAACACAGGAACAACTACAAGCTCTGATACCAATTTGTAGGGAAGAAAAGCAAAGCCTGTCAAAATAATTCAACCACAAACCCAAAACAGTCCAAATATACTTGACAAGAATTCTTCCAAGCTTGCAAGAAACTCACAGGATCCCGGTTTAATAGCAGGTAGCAGTGAATGACATCAAAAACATATATGGAGAAAGCTGTAAAAATGAAATGAAACCAAGCACACACAGAACACCATGATTTTTTACGTGGAAAACCTCTCCAAATCGAAGAGGAAAAACCACGGGGCCTCCGTCCACCCAAACTCTTCACTAATCAACAAGGAATGAGTACAAGAGAGTCTCCAAACATCAAATATGATGATACAACAGCTCAAGAAGTATAAAACTTCAACAAAGATACAAAGAGGATGAAAAAGGATTGAAATCACCCTAAAAACTGCAGGTCTGTTCGGAAATGATTCCAGACGATCTGACCGTCAAAATCCAATCTCCACCGTTCAGAATTTAGGTCTGTGTCTTGAGAACCTCCAGTCAAAATTTCAGTATAATCTGACCACGGATGCCTTCCCAATCGCGATTTCTATGAAGCTGGGCGAGCAGCAAAATTTCTGCCCAGAAATTTTTCTCTCTTCCCTGACCACAGGCAGTATCTTCAGACCACACCCATTGACTAAGTGAAGAGTCAAAATGACTTAATGGGTCTCCAACAATTTGGGCTATAATCACATAGGAGGGAATAAATGAGATAGGCCCAACACCATATTGAAACTATCCAATCGATCATTTGCTACATTAATTAAATTTAAAATTTGCTTTCAGAATAAATTTTTGTTGGGTGTAATTTTTCGGGTTTTGAGGTTTATTTTTCGAGTTTTTGTTTTGCTGATACAAGTAGCATTAGACAGAGTAGAGAGAGAAAATATGGTAATGCAAAAAAACCTGATATCAATTGTCATTATAGCGAAATTCTTTTTTTAGTTGATATTGTTTGCATCATTTATAACACTTCTTTGTTCTGAATTTATCTGGAATGATATCTTGAGAATTACTGATTATTTTGCTTCGAATAATATTGAAACTGAATTTGAATCAAAAGGATCAATTCTACCGTAGGCAGTATCTAGCCAAAAGTTTAGGCCCTGAACTAGAATACCATCATTTTTTATTACATCAGTTCAAAGAATGATGTTTACAGTTCACTAATATGAGGAGCTTACAAGTACTTATGAGTAGATCAACTAATGGTGAAAATTATAAAGAATAGACTTTTTTGTTTTTTTAACTTACCAATTAAGTACATAAGATTTGCTAATTTTTAGCTACTCATCTGATACATTGACTGACTGACTTTGAAAAAAAAAGTTATTGTTACATGTTTTAATGAAAAAGTTTAGAGCGTATGATTACAATACTTTTCATTGTTTTGAAAGCTTTTTCTAGTGGTGTTGTACTTGAACCAGTTGGGTTTCATTTGAATTTTGGCTTTGACTCTTGGGGACAACTTTCTATACCAGAACTTTTAATTTTGTTGTTGTTTGAGGCTTGCTTTCGGTTTCGCGCTAGAGGGGCTTGCTCAAAGCTATTGAATTCTTGTCTTTGCAATTATTATTGGCTTTTAGTGGCTGTATGTTTTTATTGAGTGCATGTAGCTGTTTTTGTGTTATCAAGATATTGCAGGGTTGTTTTACACTGGCGCGTGGCTGCTGTTGGTATTGCAGGTTATTGAAATTTGTAGTTGTTTTGGTTTTATCAAAGAGTTCAGATTGGGATTACGCTGGTTTTTCTTTAGTTAACTTGTCTTGACTATATATTAGCTTAACTATATTTTAAGTTAGTTGAATTTGTGTTTTTGAATTTTAGATGGTTTACTTTAGCTTGTGACTTCTATTATTCTTATTGCTAACCTAGGACCCATTTATAAATATATATTCTCTAACGAGTTTTCAATTATCTTTTTATATTCTCAGGTATTTGATCAATTGATCATACTTATACCTATCGTGATGAATAAATTTTAGGGAAAGTTCCCCAAATGAGACTAAAAAAATTTGAAAATTCCAAAATAGGACTGTCATGTTTTTATTCCCAAAATAGAACTAATTATTGCCAAATTTGGAAAATACTGCCATGTTTGAAGTCTGGTATTGCCAAAACATGACAGTAATTAGTCCTATTTTGGGAATAAAAAACATGGATGTCCAATTTTGGAATTTCCAAACTTTTTTAGTCCTATTTTGGATAATATCTCTAAATTTTATGCTTACATCAATTTGTATTGGTTTTCCAATTTGCTGAAGAAACTATAAGTTTCAGAAAGATTGTTTCCATATTGTGCTTGGTACATTTTTTAATCTAAATTGTAACATCGTATAAACTATAAAACAATGAAAGTAATGCCGGTTAAATATCTTATTGTTAGATAACAATGAAGAATTATGTTATTATATAACAACGTTTGAGTTTTTTGTCGCTAATAACTAATAGGTAATTAACCGGCGAATGAGTTTTTTATCGTTATTAGGTAACGACGAATACTGTGTCGTCGTTAATAATTAACGACAAACTTTGTCGTTAAAAGTAATAACGACGGAAGCTATAAAAATCACCTGACGACGAGAGAAAAATGGTTGTTAAAAGCTTTAACGACGACCTTTCAAGCCTATAACGACTATATTTTTCATCGTTAAAAGTCGTTTTTCTAGTAGTGTGCCTAGGGCATCACTTGGATAGAGGACACCATATTTTTAAAAATAAAACTAGTTTTACTCAATAGTTGTTAGTGTTCGTATCAATGGTATGTATACTAAAATAAAAGAGTGTTACTACCTCCGTTTTCGTAGGGATGTTTTTTACTGTCTTTCCGATTGAATTTTTAACTGAAATTTGATATGGATAAACTAGCCTGGATAAGGAACATTTTTAAAAAATTTCACCAAAAAATTCCACCGAAATGTCTCGAAAGTAAGTGGCGGACCCACTAAGAGTGCCACGGGGTCTTGGGACCCCATGTTTTTTCAAAAAAATACTTACATACTCCGTATTATTTATATTTTTTAAGAAATCTTCACGTAATATATATGTATGACAAATGCTCCTACTAAAGACAAAGACTTCAGCAGCAGAACTGGGGATGCATGAAATTGAACCCTTTCGTGTCCATAGGTGCAGCCGTGCAGGGTTCGAATCCCTTCAGTATATTTTGTTGTTGTTTAACATCTTCTTTTTTTAAACTTCCCACCATGCGTATTGAATTTGACCCTCCCAAATAGGGGTGGGCAAAAATACCGAAAAAACGGTATACCGCACCGGAAAATACTGGAATATTGGTATACCGTCATTTTCGGTACGGTATCATACCGTACCGATTTTTTTTGGTATGGTAACGGTAAATATTTTCAAATACCGCGGTATACCGGTATAATACCGTACCGACTACCTACTCAACAATTACTTTAAATTCTAAAATATTGTAAAAGTCCATTACAATTTTGAAGCCCAAACTTAATAATGAGGTTGGTTACAAATATCAAAATACAAAAATACAGGCTCAATTTCTGAAACTCACTAGAATCTTCTAGGCTTCTACTACGTAACATTCAAATAAACTAACCCTAATAACTAATGAGTAATATACCAATGCCTAGAAACAAGTCCATCTTGTCCCAAGAGCTTGCGAGCCGCAATGGCTGAGCCTCTCACGAGTGTATCTACATAGGGATTCCATGAGTCAAGGCATACAACTTTGTCTGAAAATCTTATTCAATTATTTTTTAATTATAAAAATGACTAAATACACAATCATATTAGGAATAAATGATTTTATCTCCATATTTTTTGGAGAAAATATTTATTTTTGTTACAGATCATTATTGATTTAATTATGTCTATATTAATCAAGTTATTTTAGGAGAATGTATTACTTTTTTAATATGTAGCATGTTGAACTGCTTAAATACACTAATAATAATTATTGTCCAATATTGAATATGACATCAATAGATTATTAATTGTATTTTAAAAAAATTTAATAATTGATTAAATATGTTGTTAGTAACACCCATTTAGTGTATTTTGTTAATATATGGTAAATTACCGATACCGTACCGTTACCGTACCGAAACTTTGGTATACTGAAATGCGGTATACCGAAACTTCGGTAAGGTAACAGTATATAAATTTTGTATACCGAAAGTTTTGGTACGACAAAGGTATGAGAGAAAATATTTGGTATACCGTACCGAACCACCCCTACTCCCAATGGGAGCAAATTCGAAGGAAACTTTGCTAATTTCTTTGTTTTCTTTGCATAATTCATTTTTTTACTGTTGTTATTTTCCCCATGATTTATTGTTTACCCTTTGCGTAATTCATTTTCTAGATTAATTTTAAAATTTATTTGAATATTATGATTAAATTTTTTAAATAGAACTTGCTCAATATAGGACTAAATCATATACAAAGTTCAAAAATAGGACTAAGTATGTTTTATAACTCAAACTAGACATATTTAATCCTATTAAATAAATAACTTGATAAAACTTCCCATAAAAGGAGTGAATGAATCCGATTTTGGGAATAAAACATTGATAATCCTATTTAAATTTATGTATTTATGAATGTGTTTTCAATATTTTACGATTTTGGATGAAAAGAAATTTCGACAGTCTACCAAGATTTAAATAAATTCGGAGTATCGAAAGTAGTTAATATGTTAATTTAAATTATTCGCTATTAGTAAACAAAGAATTGGATGAAATAATTCACGAAAGTGAAATTAATCTGGTTTCAATCTATATAAACAACATAAATGTTGGTTTTGAGCCTTTAAAAGTTGATCTTGAATCGAGAGAAAAATTGTTGATTTTCATTCTAATGTTCAAGACGAGGTACGCCGCAGTTATCCTCAAAAAGGGCCATTTCACCCTCGGGATCATGATTCCCCTTTTAAGGTAATTGGCGGCAAAAGACGTGAATTTATTTCTAGTCGGTTTGATGAGCATAAATAGTTCAAATACACTACTGTCAAAGATGCTCCATTTTATTTACCATGTTATTTGTTTAAGAATGAGAGGGAAGTTGGTGATGATCGTTTTTTTTTGGGAATAGGGTTTTCACATGCTATATTTTGTTTATCATGTTATGTCCTTTCTAAGATCGATGTTGAATTTTGTTTACCATATTTGTTTACCGTGTTATTTATTTATTTTCTTATTAATTAGAGTTATTAATGTAGGGACTTCATGACTCTGTTTTTGTAGGTCCACCACTGCCAAAAGTCCTCAATTGGACGGCTAATTCTGTCAGGTCGACCTGACATGATCGCTACTCATGGTCACATGGTGTATTCTACAATAAAATTTACCCCTTAAAAATCTATTTCATGAATAAGACTGCACGTCAAAGTGAGAATTTTAAATAGGAACAAATATGATGTAGTAATTATTAACATTGAGATTTGGTTAAATAATTTCATTTTCAATTTGATAAATGCTCCATATCATATGATTCGCGAATTGATGTCTTCAATACACGTACTTAGCTCCGCGTACTCCCTACATGATATCCTCGTATGAATTTGGAGAAATAATTTACTACGTACAAAACCTTACAGTTAAGATTAAAAGATTGACCAATGATGAACATGGATTTTTGTT